GTGGTACAAGAACTATTTTGGGTGCCTGGTATGAAATAATATGCATGTCGTTCCTCAAAAACCAACTTTTTAAAATTTTAATGAAATATACGATAAAATGCTATGCATATTTACAGTGCCGTTCCTGGCGGGTATGCAGCGAATGCCCCGCACGCAGGCGCCCAATTTAAGGGGCACCAAATTCAACTATATACATAAATTCTACTATATACAACTATTCAACTATATACATAGTATATAGGGGCGCACAAAATTATTCTTGCACGCAGGCGTTCGCCGCCCCAGGAACGGCACTGCATATTTAATATGACCAGATTTCTGAATTATGATTTGAGGAAAAATCATCGGAATACTGATTCTTCCTCCAAAAAAAATTTTGAGACAAAAAATTTTGCGATTTGAGGACACCCATATAGTAATGGAAAATATAAATTTATATGTGCCGCATAGATTATTTTTTAATTGATATTTAATACCAGGTAAACCATCTTAATTATACTTGATTTCATTACTGAACAGTTTAGGCATATGATATAATATTCTGCAGGAATATTTGTATTCCAGATTACAATATTATATTATTTGTAAGGAATATTTGTTATTCCAGAAGTGGTACAAGTGGCCTCAAAATTTGATGACGGTTGGTGACCGTATGCACATCAGGGTCACAAATAGCAAAGGTAAGGAAGGAAGGAAAGAAAAACCGTTTTCAAGGAAAAACCGTTTTCAAACTCAAGCACCCACTATGAGCAAAGGAGAGATTAAACTATTTTCGAAACGTTTTTTTCACTTAAATTTTGATTAATTACTCATAAAACGCACAATTGATTGACTTTGTTTTTAACTAGGATTTGAAAAGTACCTAGTAAGGGTGGTTATTACAGTATATCACCACCCTGTTGCCAAAATGACCATTATGGAGTTACTGAGATCGATAATTTCGGTATTAAATTGTTAGGTTAAGAAAAAAAACGTATTTAAAAACAAAAAATAATAATAATAATAAAAACGCCCCCCAAAAAGAACAAAATTTAAATATCTCAAAAAATATCACGAAAAATCTTGAAATGCAAAGAATGGAAAAAGAAGGTAAGAATCATCAAAATCCGGGCATTAATATATATTTTTCTTTTATTAAAGCAAATATGTCTATATATTAAAAAATATAATATATAAAAATGTGTAATATATAATAAAATTTCTCAAAAGTTTTAAAGAAGAAAGAAAAAAACATTTTGCATTGAAAAAAAGAATTCAGTAAATTGCTTAAAAATATTACAGGTATAAATATAACTGATATATATAATTTTCAAGGAATCATGTAAGATAATTTTTCAAGTTTAATAATAAAAAGTATTTAAACTAAAAAAAACAGCATAACTTCATATAGATTAAAACATTTTATGTCACATAAGTAAGACATTAACAAGCACAAATATAATAGGTTATGTGATATACATTATAGGTAATGAGATATACGTTATAGGTAATGGGACATAATAAATATTTTTCTTCTATAAAAGCGAGTATGATAAATTTTAACAAAATGTTTCGAACATTGAGAAAACATACAAATATATTACATTAAAGAAAGAATTACAATTGTTTTAAAATATTGCAGTTATGATTATGACTGAAATGTATGATTTTTTAAACAGTTCAATATGATAATTACCAAACTTTAATAATAAAAAAGGATTTAAACTAAAAAAGAGATCGTAATTTCGTATAGATTAAAATACTTTATGTCGCATAAATAGGACATTACAAGTACAAATATCCATGTAATGTCAAGCATAAATAACGCATGTCGCATAACGAAGTTATGTGACATGCCTTATAGGTTATGGGACATAATATTAAACATTTTTCTTTTTTTAGTATAATTTAACAATCCTTTTTCTTCGAAAATTAAAAAAAAAAAAAAAACATCACATAATAAAAAATATATATAATTAAAATTGTTTGAAAATAATGCAGATATGAATATGACTGAGATATATAATTTTCAAACAATTCAGTATGATAATAATTCAACTTTAACAATAAAAATGATTTAAACTAGAAGAGGTGACATAACTTCATGTAGATTGAAACAAAATATGTCCCATAACTTACACATTACAAGCACAAATATAATAGGTTATGATGGTGCATACAGTTGTTTGGATGCTGTAAACACGACTCAGTTTTTTTTTAGTATTATTGGACCTTGACGTTTATTAGAAATTCTTGTTAACAGCATTGAAACAGCTCTATGTCTTCTAGTATTTGTTCTAATTTTGTTTGAACTTTTTTTTTCTCCATAAAACTTGAACTTTTATTTTTTCATTAGTGTTGTCAAACTATGAATATTAATGTTATTAGCAAACAAATTTTGAACACGCCCTTAACATCCATAGGTAAGTTCTCAAGTCTTTTCTAAGCTTCGCATTTATTTTTCTAAAATCTAAAAATTCTATGATTCGAGCCAAAAATGTCAAAATTTGGTGACTTTTTAAATGTATTGGTCATTTATATTTTAACTGCAATTTTTACTTTTCTAAAGCTTAACCTTTGAAGCAGAATTTTAATTAAGCCTATTTTACATATTTTTTATTTTTATTTTGTATTAATGTAGATCAAAATACGTGAAGAATCTTACAATATTTAGCATTTAAAAAATGTATGGTTATGAGACATCTGTGCACGTCAAAGGTAAAATCCTCCAAACTCGACTCACTTTTAAACACTTATTTATTCACCAGAGAAATTTAGTTAATTTATAAAATCAATTATTGATAAATTTTTTAATATGAATAACTTTTGTTTTTCAAATTACTTTTTTTTTTAAGCACAAATATAATTCTGGTAATCTAACAGATTTTTTTAAGTAACTATGATACTGTATTTTATGCTTAAAAAAATACCAAATATATTTTTACTTGTACTTAGACAGTCAAAATATCCTCAGTTATATGCAAATATAATTTCTACTGATATCCCACTTGCCTCAGAGGGTCAAAAATTGTTAATGTGTAATTGCAGTATGGAAAACAGATCAATAAGAAAATGACAAGAACACAGTTCAGTGCAAAAAATAATCTCAATTCTGTCAAGTAAAGTGAACAAGATAAATTGATAAGATGATAAGAATAAAGATGTCTGCATGAAGAAACAGGGAGATATCCAAAGGGCAAAACTAACCCTTTGTCGCAGAATCGGATACCTGTGTCTTTTTTCTACACTTTTTTTTCTGACCCTCTAATTATGCGCAAAAATATATATTAATATTTTTTTTTAATTACAAAAAACAGTCTGATAGTTACTAAAAAAATCTGTTAGTTTATCGGAATTGTATTTGTACTGAAATATAACATCCAAAAAAAAGAATAAATAAATTTATTTTTTTCCATTTAGATTTAAAAATGTATCAATTATTTTGTAAATGAGAAAAAAAATTCAATGATAATTAACTGCTTCTCTTAAAACTAAATAACTGTAAATAAGTGCAGATTTAAAAAAAATTAAATAAATTATTGTTTTGGTAGTATTTGGCCGTGTGTGGAAGATTTTACCTTTAATCCAGAAAAAGACATCGCTGTTTCCTGCTGTATTACCTAACCATCTATATATATATATATTTCTCTTACATGGCGACAAAAAAAAAGCTTAATTAGAACTCCCCGAATGGCAACGCTAGAATTATTAAAATGCTAAATATAATATTTTTTACTTATTTTGACCTGAATAAATACAAAATATTGAGAAAAAAATTGAAATATATCTTTAAAAAAATTCTACGTCATTAGATTAACGCTCGCCATCGGCCACATGGCGATAAAATATAATAAATGGTGATTAAAAAATTGTTTGCTACTTATCACTTGATTGGTAATTTTTTTTAATCGAAAGTGCATTCCATGTGGATTTCATTATCATTATTGCTTAAAAAATATGGAATTATTCTAAATATTTTATAATTTTTCTGCAAATTACTTTATTTCATTTACGTTTCTTAAAAATTTTCTTCATTTTAGAAAGGAGTCTTGTAAAATTAACCATATTTCGAAAAATGCTTTAAAAGTAACGTTTCATCCTGTTAAGGTCAAGAAATTTTTTTAATCGTTTACAATTTTCTTTTTAAAAGAGACCACAATGGTGCGATTGGCCAATGACCTGAAGAAAAAAATTGCCATATATAAATACAAAATGTGGAGAAAAATATTAAATATTGAAACAAAAATGTCTTATAGAACATAAAATATTTTAAACAATAAGTTTACGGGTAAAACTATCAACGTACCTTCCATGATTTGGATAATCCTGTGGAAAATAGCCTTTTGTTACAAGAAATATTTCATAAAAATATTTAAACAAAAATTATTTTACGGATGGATAAGTTATTTATTTGTACTGGACGTGAATCAAAAGAATTACACCGAAATAAAATATAAATAGAATTAGTTTTACACCAGAATAGAATAGAAAAATTATAAAAATATCAGGCAATGAAGAAACAAAAACCCCTTAAAGAAAATTCAGAAGAGAAAGTTTTAAATTGTATATTTCTATATTACTGCAACAATATTAAAGATCATCAAGATTTTTTTTTCTATTATCGATAATAACTAAGAATTTGTTTTTATTTTTTGTTTCAGGCACTTTGGCTCCTGGAAACGAAATCAATTAGGATGCACTTCAATCATGTTGGATCTAAAAAAATATTAGATGTGTAATATTGACTTTAAAAATTATAAAATTTTATTTGAAGACTTTAAAATTTTGCTAGTTTCTTTATCTTGAGATAACACTGACATTTGTAATGCATTGTATTAATATTATTCAAAACTCTAAAAATGTAAATAAACCTTGAGAATGAAATTAATTGTTACAATATTAACTGCTTAAATTAAATTAATTTAAATTAAAGTTACTTGGGTATCCTTCAATATAAACAAGTAATACGAAAATAATTTTTTTAAAGTCTGTTCCTACTTATGTCAACAAATAAAATTTTTATTTTAGTCACTTTTCATTAAATAATTACTATTTTTCTCCCATATAAAACTAAAATTAATAAATTTGATTTAATTAATGAATTAATATTTGAAAATGCTTAACATCAAGTGTCATCCACTATAAGTTTAAAAAATGTATTTGAACTTGTATGGGTGAATAAAAAGTAGTTTATTAACTATAGGATATTTGAACAAGATAAATATATATAGGGAAAGTGTAAACTAATAATAGGAATAAAAAAAAAAAAAAAANAAAAAACTGTATTAACATCACGTGTCATCCACTACAAGTTTAAAAAATGTATTTTAACTTGAATGGGTGAATAAAAAGTAGTTTATTAACTATAGGATATTTGAACAAGATAAATATATATAGGGAAAGTGTAAACTAATAATAGGAATAAAAAAAAAAAAAAAANAAAAAAAAAAAAAGAAAAAAAAAAAAAAAAAAAAGAGAGGCACGTGGTATCAGATAACTAAAGAAATCAAAATTTTCGAAAGCAACCTTTTTGTAGTGGAGAATAGTAATTAAAAAACAAAAAATTCGAAAAAGGTGGGGCGCATGAAATACATAACAGTAATGTTATATTAGTGTGTGCTCATGAGAATATGTGTATGTATATCTGTAATTGTATCTGAATGTGTATGTTGAATATGTTTGTGTATATGCATGTGTATGAGGATGTATATGTGGATGTGGATGTGCACATGTGTATGAATAAGAAAATGTGTATATGTATTGTTATGTATTTCATGCGCACCACGTTTTTCGTGCTTCAAATTTTTGTATTTTAATTACTATTTTCCACTACAAAAACGTGGTTTTTAAAAATATTACTTTTTATTTTGTACTCACTTTCAAAATCTCAATTTTTTCACTCACTGTACACAAAACATTTCAACTGACATGTGACAATAATTTGAAATAATCGAATCGACAACAAAAGACAATCGCGAAAATATTAATTTTTCTTTAGTTTTAATTTTATTTTACTTTGTATGTCTTCTTTCTCTTCAGCGGCCATGTCGTGTGATTATGCGTAAAAGATCCCTAGAGTGTCTTATTAGCTCTTGGCATTTCCGGCAAAATTAAATTCTTAGTGCACTTTAGCATCCAAATAGAGTCTCGGTGCTGCTATCTAGTGTGGCAGAAACTAGACGTCCAAATTAACATGGCCAAAGGTATCTCACCCATTGTGGTGGTCCTGAAAGAGTGGATACCACTTCTGGAGAACGCACTGAGTCTGCTCATCGGAAAGACTGATTGTGCAGCTCATTGGAAATAAAAAAGAAATGTCTTCTTTCTCTTCATTTTCATGCATTGTCATCCAATTCTGAACTATGTGTCAAATTTGAAATCTGTAGCTAGTCGGGAAGTTAGTTTAAAATCGGTTACAAAATTCCACCCGAACAGACATGCACGAAGGCAAGTTGATATAAGCGTGGTAATAAAAGTATGGTGACGAGGACCACACGTGATACCACGTAATGCTCTTTATTGAATTTATATGATACAGCGAATTTATCTGATACCAAGTTATTGAATTTATCTGATACAGCGAATATTAAATAATTAAATATACGTAATCAACAATTTTTTTTGTTCAAATAAGTTAGAAATTAACCTAGTTGTTACTTTTAAAATATGTGAAAAACTGAATCTCTTATAGAAAAAAGGAAAAAAAATAACAATGACCAACGCTTAACCAATTAAAAAATTCTATTTCGTTTTTTGCTAATCCCTATTTAATTAATATTTGAAAAAATTGCATAAACATCAAGTGTCATAGACTACAAGTTCAAAAAAATGTATTTGAACTTGAATGGATGAGTAAAAAGTAGTTTATTAAAGATTGAAAATTTGAACAAGATATAGGGAGAGTGTGATCTAATAGTTGGAAAACAATTTAAATTAGCTATAAAAAAAGCAATTAGCAATTGATGTTTTATTGTAGAGGGTGTTCCGTTAATCACCGCCCACAATATACAATTTTAGAATCCTCAAATGCTTTCCCGTCCGTTATATGTCATAAAATTATACACGTTGTTTTTGATCTCTTGCCTTTCAGTAGTGATTTTTAGATCTAGATGGCGTTCCTGTTTTTCCTCACTTAAACATTACTTATAGGGATATTATGAAAAAATTATGCATAACGTTTAACATCAATGTGCATGGTATATAATTGTGTAATTATATTTTATAGTGAGTGCTAAAGTTTAGACTTTTTATTACATCATTTTTCACAATGATAACAGAAATATATATTAAGGTATTTGACTGGTTTCGTTTCGCTACATTTTTTTGTTTTTTTTTGTAAGAGGCTTAATTAATATTTCAATTTTAAGTTTGGTAAAGTTTCTAAAATTTTAGATTTAAAAATTTATGAAGTATTTTTCAAAGTAAGGGAAAATTTGAGCTTAAAAACTACAGTTTATCATATCAGGCTAACAGCTCTACGAAAAATTGAAATGCATACATTTTGGGAGTTTAATTTCGGCTTTGTCTATCAGCATACGATATAAATACTTTAACTTTATTTTTAAAAATACGAAATCAAATTTGAAGGGTTTTGAAATGCTAATGAACTAAAGTTCAAATATGGATAATAAAATAAAATTAAAAAAAAGTCGAAATTGTCCATTTTTACCCAGACGAATAACCTAATCGTAGTGATTATTGAATTTCCTTTTGCGTAAAAAAATGCAAACCAAATCAGATATCTTTATACAGACATTCTTCAATTTTTATTATTATTACTTTTTTTTGCAAATTATTGCTACGGAAATAATTTTTTAAATGATTGCTTAGTAGTTTTAAATAGATTATTGTAATAGCACCGAAAAATTTCCTTTTAGAAATAGCTGCAATATTACCTTCGTAAAATCGAAGAAAAGTTTGAAGGATAAATAAACAAAAACTACTTTCATTTTCCAAAAAATGAACTATAGTTTTTTAACTTTTATATCTGTAGAATATGCTGTTTTCGTTTTTTTTCTTTTTTTCCTCTTCTTTTTTTTAAATTTTTTTTATTCAGATACAGTTTATCAAAATCTTCACATATTTAAGAAATGTGAAATTTAATTATGTGGTATTTAAAATTATTCATAAGTAAACAATCGAATAACTCACTTATGAAATATCACAATATTAATCAATTAATTTCATCTTTCTTGATGTATTATAATAGGTACTTATTTCTTAGGCTGTAAAAATTTGCTAAACTATTATTGACTGTAGTCATGTTTAGTAAAATGAAGTATTAAAAAAACGTAATAAAAAAATGTAGATGTTCTAAAAGTTATGAAATACTATTTTCCAAATTCTAACAGAGCAAAGCCTTAATTACTCTTTGTTTTCTTTCTCATTTTTTTCAGACAAAAAACTTTGAATTGATATTTTATTATAAAAAATTTGTTAAGTACGAAAAAGAAAAGGAAAAAAGCAAAGTTAAAAAAAGAGCAAAGGCATAAGCAAATTTTATCTAGCTTTTTTTTTAAAAAAAAATTCGTTCTCTCTTTATTTATTTTTATTTACTTATTTATTTCAATTAATTTAAATAATTATACACGTTCAACTTAAACAAGCAAGCAGCTTTTGAAAAGAAAAGAATAAATTTTCAAAGTTTCAGCGTTCTAAAAAAGGATTTTCTTTATTATCAATTTTGTCATTATTATTTAACTTTATTTCTATTTTATATTATTAATTATTTTTATAACATGCTTACTTTTTGCTTAAATCTTATAAACATCACTTATAACCTGTCAGCATGAAAATTATTTCAAATTTAATTATAATTAAATGAGGTATATATACAAATATTTTAAATACTATGGATAATAAATTATATTATTTTAACAAAAATTTAAAATTTTATTAGTTAAGTTTTATATCACGTACAATAGATGGCGCCACGAATGCAGAAAATAAAAATACGAGCATTTATTTTATTTTTAAGTTCAGTGTTGGAATGGTAAAGAAACGTGATACTGGAGCTTTTATTAACATATCTTAACACTATATAATCTCAATTTTTTTAATTAAAATTTTTAGTATCATTTGCTCGTAATTATAACGAATTTATGTCTAACTTTGCTAATGCGCTAAGTTTGAATGCAATTGTACTTGATTAAAACAGTTAATTGTTAAATTTGTCGCCTCTGCAGATTTTAGCCCAACAATTCTGTTTTTAAAATTAAATTATGATATTTTATTCTCCTATACCTATTTCTAGGTTTCTACAGGGAATCCGCGCACCTGGAAGCGACTTTACACATTGTCATGGAAAGTCATGAATTTCGGTTTTGAACAAAATTTTTCATGAAATGTCATGATTTTAACTATTTTTTTTAAAGAAAATCATGGAAAGTCATGGATTTAGGTTGCCAAAAAATCTAATTTTTAAAATGGAATTTAAAAATACCCTACCATTTCATGGTGTTCCGAATATCTGAATTTTTAATAAATTGTAATCCACATTAAATCCATTTTATTAAAATGTAAAATGTTTTTATCATGTTTTAAATGAAAAAAAAAAAAACATCATTTCTAGAGCGAATTATCTTTTAAACTTTTGTGATTTCAAAATTTTTGTTATTATTTATTTTTGATTTTATCAATTTAAAATTCTAGCTGAAGCAAGCCAGTAATTGGCGAATTTTTTTAAATTCCGAAATGAGAACAGAAAAATCAGGAGTATTTCTTTCCTTTCGGACTAACAAGAAAAGTATCTTTAGAATATAATTCTGCAGAAAAAAATTATTT